AATGTGTAAAGAAACCTCCAATACTTCTTCCAGATTGGACTCATTCTGCTACTTCTGAAACAAGAGGACCTATTATTTCAAGAAAAAACACAGCTACAGTGCCACAAGGGAGCTATAGCACTGGAAGAGAGATGCCAATGTATCTATTGCCAGATACATTAATGTCATGCTTCCCATTTTTATCCAGAATGCATTAATGTCCCAAGAGGTTACATTAATTGCTTATTGGCAGTGACTGATTTAAAGGATGATGATTAAATGTTTCTCTACAAATCTCTGAATATCATTTTGTATTTCACAGCTGTGAAGGCTTTTGTTGCTGCATATAATTTTAGCTTCAAACTATGCAACTGTCATATTGAGTAAGCTACTGTATCAAGACATGGTCTTTGATAAAGAAAAACTGTTTTTATTAATTCATTCTACGTTTTCTTTTTCAAGCCAGTGATTTTTGTTTTTTAAAGCATTCCAGGTTTCTGCAACTTAAAGAATTAAAGAATGCTATGTAAGATGTCCAATTCAACAGCTTTGACAAACTCACATTTATCTGCCATAAACTTGAATTATAGAATGGTTCCTTTAAAAAAAATTACATGAAGCAATCTATAGATATTAATACAGTAAAATAGTAACTAGAAGGGAGGATGGGCATTAGTGGCATCATAGATACAAAATTCTAATACCTGGGATAAGAAATCATAACTCATTAATGTCTATTAACATTAACCTATTTGTTTCAATATTTCTTGCCACATCCAGGAATATGAATAGGCATAAAATGGTGGCTGATTCACATCTTTGATCTGGCCAATTTACTGCACATGCATTTCAATTGTCTCGTTTTATATACACGTTCATTTTGTGCTGCACTGAACATTTCTTTAAAAAAAATTTTTTAATCAGAAGCATTGAGTTAAGAATATAGAAATTTTATTTAGTTGAGTTGGGTAGCTATAGAAATTGAATAAGTAAATAATAAAATATACTGTATAATAAATATTGGTTTGGAAACATGATGGGTCTGAAATTGGAACTCAAAATCTATACTCACAGACCATGCTTAGATTAAAATTAACTGACATTACTCAACATGCTATACTGTTGGCTGTGATAAATCAAGCCAAAATGACTAGGTATATTCATGCTAAATTACAAAATGTGCAAACTCAGCCAAAATCCTTTAGTAAATGGCTTTTTCAGTCTTGTTTAAAAGGTAGCTTCAGATACAGCCCCCCCTTGAACTGTACCTCTACCTTATCCATAAGTTATGTCTGCGTAGTTGTTTAACACGGTATTCATTCTGCTACTTTAATGTTAAATCATTTGGTAGAAACTTACTGAGTTCAGAGCATCAAAGCTTCATTCCAAATCTTTGCAATTTACTGTGTTTTGACTTTCTCTTAGCATTTCAGGGTTGGTTATAGTGTAATTAAGTTCATTTGCCAATTGCCACTTTTAGAAGAACCCTATTTTGTATATTAGAACTCAGATCCACCAGCAAAAAGCCAAAGTCAAAGTAATGGCTCAGGCTAATAGACAATAATTAAGGGGAAATATGTATGTACAGAGTTTATCAGTTCGGAAACAAGTTTACAATCCCTTCCCATCAGAACTTATTTCTGGTTTTCTCACAATCAGTAATCCCAATGAACCTGTATGTTGTTGCAAAGCAATAATATTTTGCTAATACCTACATTATTATTCACAAAGCTCATTTTTATCTTTAGTCCACTCTTGGCACAAAAACTAAAGTCTGGCTTTACAAATGAGTCTCAAAATGCTGAATCTCAATGCTAGCTTCTGTTCTTACACTGGGATATTAAAACACACAATTGCTTTCAATTAAATGTTTTTCTATTGTGTTCTTCAAGGAACATTTAAGAGAAAGGTTTTTTAAAATAAACAAATTATATTTTCTCATAGATTTTATAGGTGTTCCTTATATCTGAATGCTAAAGAATAGGCAAATTTTTTTAGAAGTACACACAACTTGAATCTGAAAAAGAATTTATTTTTAAAGAAAGTTATTTTACGTTGGAGCACTTTTCCATTGCATTTACATACATTTAGACACTAATTTTTGAAAATGTTCCTTCACACACACATTCCAAATTATCATGCAGTTTAGCACTTATTAATTTGCAACACGATTGCAGTCATAGTATTCAAAATAAAATACAAATCTGATTTGAAAGTATTCCAAACCAATCTTATTGGTCACTTTGGAACCTCTGAACTTCCAGAATATGTTGCATGGAAATAAATGTAGATGACTAATATAAGGTGCAAGGACATTCAACTGTCCTACAAAATCATCTTAAATTAATTCCAACAAAGAGCCCAACAATTCTTGCTTAGAAAATCTCAGGTTCTCCATGTTTGATCTGCAAGTTCCATAAATCAGTCAGCAAAAGTCAAGAATATAGAAGCTGTAGTCCAGAGCTTTAGGTTGAAGAGCTTTAGGTTGCCTATTTCTTTATAAGGACATAATCATTTTCTTGGTTTTTGTACAAGAACTAGGACATTGCTTTGGGAATATTTGAAGAGACAATGCAAGATATTAAGATTATTAGACCTTTGTTCCAATCTAGGAAAATTTCACCTCAAATTATTCTATCATATATGATTCTTTCAAGAAACTTCATTTCAGTTAACATTTCTGGGTAGAGTATTTTCATTGAACTGAAGAGATTAATTTAGTTCCCACATTAATATAAAGGATTTAAATGAACATTATTTCAATTCAGAAAATGTTTGGGGTATAAAATCCCAATAAACCCAGTCTACTTATGGATATGACAGACCAGTGCCAAATATTAAATAAGCCAATGTGCTGCTGTTGCATTTTTCTTAACGACCATTTTATAGAAATGGAATGTTACTATAGGATTTTATTCAATTGATACAATTATATAACTCTATCAGTTACGTCATTTAAAAGAACATTATGGCTAAATTAACTTCCTTTCTTAATAGGAATGGTAAAAACCCAAACTATTTCAGAAAAGATCATTTTTTTTATAGAAAATATCCTGTTTTACAGATGGTACAAGATGGTTGAAACGATGCAAATAATTTTTGAACATTTTTGTTTCCATAACAAATTGCCTATTAAAGGCAAGGAAAATGTCTTGCTACAATAATCCTGAGGCACAATCAAATTTTTGTGTTATTCCCCTTGAATTAGCAAAAAATATCATGGAGCAGCTTTTTCTGTCAAAGAAACAAGAAAATAGAATGGGGATGCCCTTTTTAAAAAGCTCAAGACTGTAATTAAAAAGAGAAAATTTTAGTCCTTGACTTACAAGCACAAGCAAGCCCAAAATTTATGTTGCCGAGAAGTTTGCTGAGTTTTGCCCCATTTTATGACTTTTCTTGCCCCATTTGTTAAGTGAAGCATTGCAGTTGTTAAGTTAGTAAAATGGTTAGTAAGTAAATCTGGCTTCCCCATTGACTTTGCTTGTCAGAAGGTCACAAAAGCTGATGACATTGCAACCATCATAAACACGAACCAGATATCAAACATCCAAATGTAAATCACGTGACCATGCTGCTGCTGCTGCAATGGTTATAAATGTGAAAAATTGTAATAAGTCACTTTTTTTCAGTACTGTTGTAACTTCAGTCACTAAATGAACTGTTGTTAATTGAGGTCTATATGTTTGTATTTTATTTCCCAAAATGACCCAGATTTTATTGACAATGACTTTTATCTGCAGGATTCAGCATTATTTAAAGCTATAAAAAAGTACAAGCTATAATATACCTCATTTCTTTATACTGTATTACAGTACAAGCTGTAATATACCTATATTTCAGTATAGCTTGTAGATATTTTTGTGGAAATTTATTATATTTTATACAAAGGATGAACAATTAAAAAAGAAAATGCAATGATCTATAAACGTGCAACTAAAATCAAGTTTTCAATTTTACATTTGTTTTATTGTACTTGCTCTTACTTTATGATTTTTATTTTCTTTGTAAACTGCCCCAAATTCCTCAACTAATGGAATGGCATACAAATGCAATAAACATTAAATGTTTATGCAGTAAAATAACATTTTGCAAAAGATTTTCTTGCCAAGGTGAAAGTAAATTGTTTCTTATCTGCAATATTAATGTCATAATTATTTCATGTTATGCTAAACCATGCACTTAAAACTAAAAACAGTACATTGTAATACACATGACATTTCTCAGTTAAGAGAAATATTTTTTTCCAAGCAAATTTAAAAAAAAGTATTCAAGTAGAGGGTTCCTTTAAATTGTGCTATACAAATGAATTAGGAAATAAATCCCACTGAGGTCACTGGATATATCTCTAGAAAGACATGTCAAATGCTTTACACACTCAATGTTTGCTACTGCAATAAAATATTTTTATTTGAATCACCTTGAGGATGTTCACAATCTAAAAAGCCTCAACAGTGATCAGTATTACTGTTAAGACAGAATTCTTAATTTCATATAATCTTAAATGGCTATGCAGATGTAACAACCCAACTATCTGAAATAAGAGAATTAAGGCATTTATTTGGAAATGGAATAATTTATATATAAATGCAATAAAGGTTTTTGGTTCTGAAAGGTTAGCGACCATCAATAAAATAGCCATTCTTGAGGACTCTTGACATTTTCCTACCTATGTAGTATTATTAATAGATGTACAGAAATTGCATCTAACCTAGCATTTGTGACATTAACTCATGAGTAAACACAGTAAACACAATAACAAGGGGAACCAAATTAATTTGTGATTAGCTGTTCTACAAATTATCAACTACAACATAGAATGTATTCAATGTGGAAAATGGAATTTAAAAAATAGTTAATATTCAACTGATTAGTAACATCCAATGCAAATGGCTACCATTAATAGTGATCCAGTAATTTTGCACCATATACCTAAATTGTACGTCAGGTCTGAGTAGTATTGTTTTGTGCTTTGCAAGTCTTCATAATCAAGATCCTGAATGGGAAAACCAAGAGGCAAGCTTATGTGCACTAGTAAAAATATTTTTATTTTCCAATATCCAGATGCTGCCCGTTACATTTTTCTGTACAAAACATCTGAAGCACCCATCTTTTTGCATCTGAGATTTGAAAACAGCATTTTTCTAAGTTTATCCTTTACTAAAATTAAAAGTAACTTATTTTAATGCACAAGAAATTTTCTCAGAAATATTTTTATCTCCATTTGTGATCAATTAATTCAATTTAAGATGTTGGAATGAAGAATTAAAAACATTAAAATGAGAGTCCAAAAACTATTATCTTCATAGCTCTAGCTCACCACACATTTTTGGAAGGGGCTTGTCTGCAAGAAATTTGAAGGAGAGTTCGCAAATTAATTTGGAAACTCAAAAATCTTGTAGTTATATGTAGAAATTAGTACAAAATAATTCCTAAAAAACAAAAAGCTTAAGAACTTGTGCTTTTTGATCAGCATTCTGTAAGGAATTTACTATTAAGTGCAATTGTCTTGAAATCACATTGCACTCAATTTTCTGGTTACAACTACCTGCATAAACAAGTGATTTTGTGGCTTCTTATAACGTTGCTCTAAAATCTGTTGTACATCATGTGATCTCACTAAATAAAACAAACGTATACAATAAGCATCCCATTCTAGCTGAAACAATTTGATTAAATAATTATAGCCCTTATGTTTTCATTCAATTTTTTTTTACACAAGTTTCAGTCTTCAATCTTTTCCCCAGGCCCTACACTAATCTCTTTGTCGTTCAAGGAGATAATAATAAACACAGAATATGTATCCTGGGAATATGTAATTCTCTATTAGCTGACCAATTTTGGTAGCACAGTACATAGAGGTATATTGGCATTTGAATCAGACATTAGATTAGCTCTCAGTTTGTTTGCTACCCCAACAACTGGGGGTAATCTGGAATTTATCCCTGGGAAAGCGCTTGTATAGTGAGCAATCCGTTTGCCTGAACTTTTATCCACGCTGGGAGGCTTAGGTATTCGTTTACAAATCCAAGGATGTCTTAAAGCTTGGCTAGGAGTCATCCTTGCAGAAGGATCCCAATTAAGACATTCTTTTAAGAACTCTATAAACAAAGAGTCATCACAGCCTTTTAATGCTGTGGTCCAGTCCTTGTTGCCTGGAGCACTGCGCATTTTACCCCTTCGTGATCTGCTACCATTAAGAATAACTTTCCCATCTGCTTGAGTTGTTACACTGCAATAGCGAGGATGACCTTTGGAATTGATGAAGTTTTTGGCTCGCTTGGATTGGTCTAGCAATTTCTGTGGAGGCATTCCAAGGAGCTCCATCATACAAGCTAGCTGATCACCCTCATCCTCTCCTGGAAACAAAGGATAACCAGTCAGAAGTTCCACCAGAATACAGCCAAAACTCCACATATCTATGGGCATCCCATAGCGGCTTCCCAGGATAACTTCTGGGGCTCTGTAAAACCGAGATTGTATGTAAGTATAAACTCTTTGGTGCTCAAAACAACTAGATCCAAAATCAATTACTTTGATTCCACTTCGCCCTTGCTGTTTCAGAAGAATATTTTCAGGTTTTAAGTCGCAATGTATAATTTTGTTTCTGAATAGCCCCTCCAGACATTGTAATATTGAGTGAGCAAATTTACGTACAAGCTGCACACTGAAGCCTTGAAACTTATTTCTTTTGATCAGCTCATACAGATTCATGCTCAAGAGCTCAAAAGTCATACATATATGATTTCGAAAGGTAAAGCTTTCTAGCATGTGAATAACATTCATGCTGCCAGTTTTATCTTGCTTTTTGAGATGTTCCAAGATGCGTATTTCTTCTGCCGCTTGCCGGTGAAACCGTTTCTCATTGCGTACCATCTTTAGAGCCAAATGTTGGTGTTGTTTGTGATCAAACACTTTAGCTACTTGACCAAAGCTGCCTTTCCCAATTATTTTAAGTACTTCATATCGATACGCAAGATGGTCATGAGGTACATGAACATAGCTGCCTTGTTCATCATCATATCCAGCATTGTTGGGGCCACCAATAACTCCCTGTCTTTTCTTTGCATTTGGACCCACAAAATAGATTTCAGGAAAATTAAATATTTCTTGTTGCTCATAGGCTGTTAATTGCTGTTTATATTGCTTCAGTGCTTGCTCTGCAGACTGACAACCAGCTTTCTGTGCTTTTATAGAACTACCACTATTTTTGATGGTGCAGATACTATTAGCACTTTTATCTTTTACTGGAGTTGGAAATGACCTATCAGAGCCATTTATTCCAGTGGACTGCAGAGTACTGCTCCTTCTATTTCCAGAGTCTTCAAATAATTGCTCAACTTTGACTTGGCTCCCAGTCAAAGGATGATCCTTCATGGTGATTGTGCTTGGAATTACCTTTAAAGATGAAACAGAAAATCCTTAGCATTCACAAATTTAACATTTGGGAATAGCAAGAGTCATTTAACTTCAGAAGAAATATGTAGTAGTAAATGAATGTTTACATAAACCTGATATAGTAAAATTTGTATTAGCATGCACTAAAGTAGTTTTGCAATATCTACTCTTCAATCAGCATAGTAACAAGTAATGAAAGTGTAACTTGAAGCAACCAAGAACCTACAAATTATGATTTCACTAGCTCAAAAAAAGCAAATTGCAAAAAATACAAATAACTGCAGATTATGAATGAAATCTTTCCAAAAGGATTAAGACAGAATTGGTGAATAATTTGGTTACCAAAAATTCCGTATTGCTCTTAAATTAGTGCGTTCCCACCTCTCTTTAATCTTTTATGAAGGCAGTTTGTATGTTTTGTATTCTAGAATACTAACTCACTTTTGAGTCCTGAAAAGAGTTTTGTTCCACGCACACAAGGAACTAAATATTTTCCCTACAAAACTGCAAATCAAAAATAGTCAGAAAACATTAAAAAGTATTTATCTTAATTTGAAACAACTGTAACTTTGGATGCTCACTTCAGATTCTATTTCAGTCTAGGCAATGTGAGCAATAGATTCCCAAGTAATGCAATGAAGCAAAGCAATGTCCTATTCTAAAAACTAGTGCAGAGTAGATACCTTGCAAGTGCATTGAATGAATGAATGAAATGAGCCACTCTTACAAGGATTTGGTTAGGTAATTTTTATTCTGCAAAGTACACCTTGTTGAGTCCACAAGGCAGACTAGCATAAGTGTGACATACCTCATTGATTTTTGCAAGGCAACGGCAAGGTATTGTACTAATTTATGAAATAAGTGTAAGAAACCTTGATACATCTTCTAGTTTAAACTTAAACTTCAAAAAAATGAAACCAAGATTTGCAACCAAATAACAGCCTTTATATAAGTCTGGGGTAGCCAGTAAAGAATGCTATCTTCTTCAATTTCTATAGCAAATTTTTACTCCCCCAAACAGCAAATTAATAACTCTTTTGAAAAACTATTTGTATACCTTTTTCAATGAAATGCCAAAACAGTTACGACATTGGTTCAGAAAATGTAGTTTCAGGACACCAAGATCTGTATTTTACTGCTTAACTGCTATATCTGTTTGGAAAATACAGACAGTGTATTTTGAGACATACAACTTTCTTAGAAGTCACAGAAAATATGAGCCAGAGATTAGCATGTTAACAGATTCTTCAGTATCTATGGCTGAACTGAGCAGAAAGAAAGAGGAATGCTGTAAAATTTTGAATAAGATGGCCCCTTGCAGGATATTAATCCAGTCCAATCAGCAATTCTTTATTAATTCAGAGCAACTGGGTTTCAAAGACCTCTATTTTCAGAAACATTTGATCTCCTAATGGACAAAGAATTCTGGGTGCAATTTTTGCATTTTGCAGATAAAAATAGAATAGCAATAGTCCAAACAGGAAATGAATCTGAACTGTAATTTTGTCCCACATGCAATACTTAGATAAAATATAAGCTAGAAAAAACTCTGGTTAAACATTACCAATCTATTCATATTTACATTACCAATCTATTTATATTTACTTTGAAGTAACACAGAATAATAAAAAACCAATTGGCAGTGAAAGAAGATATTCTGTAACTGACTACATATAAAATGAAAGCAAAGTAACTAGAAATTAACTCACACACGGATAACGTTAGGGTTGCATGAACATGAGACTGTAGGATGCCTTAGACCAGGGGTATCAAACTTGTCGTCATGTGATGTATCATGACCTTTTCCCTTTGCTAAATTGGGGGTCGGCATGGCCAGTGTGTGATGCATCTGGCCCACAGGCTGCCAGTTTGAACACCCGCCTTAGACTAAACTATTTTAGAAATAAAACTAGAAGCACTTCTCACATCTGTTCTTTGGGTAGTGGAAAATTCAGCCTCTAAGCTATGCTCCATAAAAACTCTATGCAATAGCTTATCTTTTATAATAAAAAGCAAGTTTCTTGTTTTCATATGGCAGACAAAAAGATAGCCAACTGCCAAAAATATATATTTGCTTAGTGTCTTCGAAATTCAACAGACTTGACAAGAAAATGACATGTAATTACTTCTCCAATGGAATGCAGGAAGGCAGGCAGGTGCCACAAGAAGTGGTATGGAGTACATGTGAACAACTTGCAACCTCTTGCCAGCTTCCGTACTGACTGTTTGTGGAAAGCCAGCAAAGAAGGTCCCAAATGGTAATCATGGGAGTGTGGTACATTGCAACTGTCATAATAGCAAGTTAGTTGTCTAGTTCTCAAATCACAATGACATGACCCTGGGGACATTGCAATGGCTGCAACTTTGAGGACTGGTTGTAAGTCATTCTCGTTCAGCACTGTTGTAACTCTGAATAGATGCTGAATGAGTGGCTGTAGTCTGAGGACTACCCGTACAAACTTTAGGACATGCCTGTGAGCTTTTTATATTGCCTATCTATAGAGAAAACACGTCCATGTATATGATATATGGTAAGCGGCAAATCTCTCGGTGATGTTTTCTTTCTATGATACACATATTATGCACAAAACCACCTCAATGATCTTCACTGAGTACGTAAATACAAGAAATCTGAATTATAAAGCTTGATGCATATAGATTCAGGCCTCTTTATATGATCATATATCGATACTACTAATAAAATCACTATATTACAGCTTGTCAATAATGCAATATTTACTCTATGAAATGTCTAAGGGCTTCAACTGACTTGATCCAATTTATAAGATTTGATGCACTGTATTTGCTTTTGAATCTCTTTGCCAAATTTAAATATCATTTCCCCCCTCTTAGTTATAAGCTTCTGAGAAGCAATTATGACATGCATGAAAGGATGCTAGAATTATAGAAGCCAAACTTTTCTTTCAATGATCAGTTATGCAACCATGTTTTGGTTTTGCTTGAATATTTTTGTTCCTTGAAAGTATTTGCAGAGCATCTTACTGTTATGGCTGTTGTCACAATTGGACATAATTGCTGCAATCTAACCAGTCCTCTCTAACAAGCTGACAAGATACATGACTTTGATTAAGACATATATCATTTCTATGAAAACAATTGAAGTGACAGAAGACATTACTGTTTCCAAAAGAAACATTAGAAAATTCCTTTTTGTATTTTAAAAAACAAAACCAGTAAATTTCAGTCCAGTAATTAAACACTTAGTGAACTGACAGTAACTCTAAGAATATTGACTATGGAATGGTTATAGATACATAGAAGATGATATATAACTATCATAGAAACCCTTCTTTCTAGTAAAGAGATGCTCTTCAGTGCTTACTTTTTCTGCAAAGAAATATTTACTGACATTTTTCTAATTATTTCACCATAAAAAGTAATTACTATAACATTCAAAATGCAACTCTTTTCAAGTCTACCAATGAGAAAAAAAGCTACTCTTGCCACTTATACCCTCATATTGAGTAAATACAGTGGTTAAAATGACACAGGCATTAATTAATCCTAATATCTTGATGTTTACCAACAGGAAACATTTATCCTATAAATGTTGAAAAAAATGGCTTTCACTTTGTCAATTGAGTGGACAAGCCATAAAGAGGCAAGGAATATATATATTTAGATTAATGGTCTTGTACAATGAGAACTAGGATTGTGACATCTCTTAATTCAGATCACTTGTTTAATTATGTTATTCTCTTACCTATATATGCCTATTGTTATCAGTCCATTTCCATTATGAAGAACACTAACCCTTATGCTAAGGGGGGGTGGAACCACTAAGGAAAGCAGAACAAAAGGAGGATGAGTCCCAGAAAAATCTATTTGCAAGGCTATATAGTATATAATATTTATGAAAAACAAGAAATCCCCACTAATACCGTGTTTCTCAGAAAATAAAGCTGGGCGTTATTATTTTTTGTTCCCCCCAAAAACGGCTAGGCCGCCTTTTCGGGGGTGACTTAATTTCCCCCCCCCCACATGCACCCTCGCCTAGAGCACCCTGCAGGCAGCCATGCCTCGCCACCAGCTCCTAATGGCCAATCATGGCGGAGCACGACAACTCCCTACCCTGCAGAGCTCCTTTGTTGCAGACCCAGGTATGGTGCTGGCTGCAGGCTGGGTCAGCGGGCGGGCGGCGGCGGCATGTCGGCCTCGGCAGGGCACTTTGTGTTACTATGTTGTTATTAAGAAGTCCTCATTTACAGACAATGGTTGTTATACAAAGCAGTTGCTAAGTGAAACCATGACTGCTTATAATCTTATTTCAGCTTTCCTTTGCTTTACAGACCTACAAAGGTCATAAATCCTAGGATTGGTTGCAAAGTTACTTTTGAATCATTAACTGAAAATGGTTGCTCTATGAGACAATTGTTAAATGAGAACTACCAATAACATTTTTAATCATGCTGAATGGTTGGAAAAGATAGTACAGACACAATATTTAACTATCGCCTTCTGCTGATATAGATGTACTTGTTAGGGTTATGCAGTGGTTCAGACTGTATTTGGAAGAAGTTCCTTAATGTACAAGAGTGAATGCAGCATCTCTGTGCAGCTTGTTAAAGCAGCCATGAGATCCTGGAAACAAATGTACACATAGCCACCACATTTGCACAATAAAGCAGCTATTTGGAATCAAATCAGAAGCACTGCATAAACTTAGTATTAATATTCTGGTTTGTTAAAGCATCTAGTTTGTGTTATCCCAGCAGTAACAAAACTCAAAAAGCAGGAAAATTACTTACATTAGATCTCCCTAGTGAAGGAAAAGCAGAAGGGGTGCATTCTTCATTTGTAGGTTCTGGATATCTAATCTGATCTATTCTCATATAAGAGTCATATAAGCCATCTCCAAACCTGGCTGAAAATAACAAAATGATCAGTAAAAATGAACATAAATTCATACAAGCATTATTTTAAATTATAGGAACAATCCTAAACTCTTACTGGAATCCTCCAACAAACTCCAAAGTCCAGATGATGTGGCTGCAGGTAATTAGAAGGAGCACCATTTGATTTCCCCCCTTTTTTCATAAAAAGGGAAAAAACTAAAATGAGCATTGTGCATGTACAATTCTTTTTTGTTTGTTTGTGTAATAACAAGGGACAGGAATATTAGTATTTAGTAGATTTTCACTTTGCCTAATCTGTCCTCCTACAATCACTTTTGGGAGGTACTATACTCAGGACTGTCTTAGAAGCCAGCAACGTAAGTCTGTCCAATATTGATTCTTTTCTGTCTTGCGAAGAGAAAACCAACAATTCTTGTAGATTATTGCAATGCTCCCAAGTAATATGGGACTCCACCATTAAATTGCTCAGAATACCACAACCTCTATTTATGAACATAGAATCATGAGTTAGTGATCAATTTGAAAAAATTCATCTCAGCAATATCTGCTAAAGAAAATATATAGGTGATAGGATATATCTATGATTTGAAATTGGATTTCTTTGAAAGTAAACTAAGCTGCAATTGTCCGCAGCAATCATGAATCAGTGTCTGTTGACTAAATTAGGAAAATTACAGCTTCAAAAATAGTTTGAAACTCAAGACACTTAATACTGACTCCTTAAAACAATAAACTTACTGAAACTTAATACAGTAAGTATATCCATCACATAATTATCCATCCAGTTATAATTCTGCATAGGCTTGCCTGGAAATAACTCTAAAGTAGTCCTACCATACCCATGGCTTGATGGGCTTTTATTTCCCCTGGAATAAAAATAGCTTGCCTTCAACATTAGCCAACTAGGAACATGAAGGACATTGACTTGGCCACATTTATGACTTGCCTGAATTCATCCAGCTGGACACTGTAAGACAAAGAATACTGAACCAGAGAGGCTACTAGCATGAACCCAGCAACGTTCTTATGTTCCCATTGTTTGCTTCAATGTAATAATGCATTGAATAGCTATATTATTTTGCCTTGTTCTGATCTGTTGAGTAATGCTCAACAAGTAATGCTCCAACCAAGTAAAGCTGAAAATTTCACTCCATGACTTCGCTTATTTACAAATGTTTGTAGTGCAAACAGAATCTGGCAGAAATTAACAAATGTTGTGTTTTGTTTCTGAAACTGTTATTTTAAAAAGTTCTATTAAGTACTCCAAAATTTTAAAACTGCCTCTAACATGAAAAAGGAAGAGTTCCCGAGCTTTCTCTTGCTTAATCACAGATTTAAAATAAAACTTGGATTACAAACAAGTAAATAAACATTTATGGTAATTACTGCTGACTGGAAGGAATGCTCCTTGCCTTCCAGTTAACAGTTTAAAAAAAAACATGAAGCAGGAGCCAGCTAAGTTATTACCAAAGGAAAAATCTCTAAAAATTTCCTTATGCGTTGTTTGGCAGTGAGTTGAAATAATCTGGCCTGCTTCTCGAATCACAGCGTACACCGAATATTTCTAGTAACCTAGACCATTTTGGCTCCAACAGTTACTGTACTTCATTTCTACCGTTACACACGTGAACAGTTAAAAAAAAAAAAAAGGCAAGCGGTTCAAAATCCCAAAACAAAAAAAACCCACGTGGTTTCTATGGTGGGGGCCATCGAAAGGAGCACCAACTCCTTCTAATTGAGGCTCCCTTGTCCGTGTTGGGTGGGAGGGTTTTTTTGGGGGGGGGGGGGGGGGGAGTATTGTTCATGTGATAGTTTCCCATCGGTCTCTCGAGGAAATGGTGCTAAAGATGTTTCTCGAGCCTCTCTGGTCTACATTTTTGCCCATTATCCCCAATTGAAAAAAATACAGTACAGGCGCCGGGCTACGGTGCAAGTCCCATGCGCCATCCTCCCGCCACGAATTCGGCAACCGGCCGTTTTTCTCACTCCGATCGTCCCTTTTCCCCACGTGGTCCCACCGCCGCCTCCTACAAAAGTTCCAGCCCTTCCTGCGAAGGACACGTGCGGGTCGTAGCCCTGGCTCCTCTTCCTCCCACCAAGGGGCAGGGTGACCCCCGCCCTTAACTCTACACCCGATTCCCTCAAACGCGCTTCCCGTTCCCAGACCACCTCCACGACCCTGTGCCTGGGATGGCCAGGCTGGCAAAGGATGGGCAGGAAAGGCTTGGCTCTAAAGGAAACAAGGGCTCCTTGGTGCTGTCTGAGCTTCTTGCAGGCGTTTCGGTGCTGTTTCATTACTCAGGGAGGAAACGGCACTCTTCCTTTTACAAGCCCCCTCCTGCGCGGCACCAGCGATCTCCCACCAGCACACCAGCCACACCAAAATTCACTTCTGGTAAAAAGAGGCCTCGTCTCTGCAAAGACACGCAAAACGGCTGAGTGTCTGGAAAGCAGGAAGCCAGACAGCCCCAAGGCCCAGGCACGAAAAGCCCCGGAGGAGGGAAGGACCTACGCCCGCAAGGAACAGAAAGGGGGTCCAAGGAGAAGACCCAAGGAGCCCCCTTAAGCTTCCCCCATTACCTGCCGAGAGGGGATCTTCCGACTTCCTGCTCAGCAGCATTATAACGAGCAGGATACCGGAGGGAAAGCCCGTGGGCCGTACGCCCCATCACCGTGTACAGGCCTGCCCGGTCCCCAGATTCCCCCTGCCGCTTGTTCTAGTATCGGAGGTTGTCGTCGAGCAGGCAGGGACGTGGTAGCGCTGAAAGCGCGGTTGCTAAGGGAACGTCTGCTTGGGTCGTTGTGCGCTTGCGCGGTGGGGGAGGGGCTGAAGCGTAGGGGAACAACGCTCTCCCCCCCCCCCAAACATTTATTCAGCGACCGAAGTACAATGTGCTTGAGCCAAAGCGACTTTATACAAAGTGTACAAAGCATAGGGATCTGTATTTATTTTGCCTGAAGACAATAGGAGACCTTCCTATCTTCTTAAAGATGCCGTTGTAAAAGAATACTTTGTGAATTGGTACCCGAGAGAAAGCCCGTCGAAATAAATTAGCATTAACTTCATAAAGACTAGGGACGTGTATGTGAGCTGTGCTTTCTAGGACTTGATGTACTTGATCTGTTGCAAATTGTCACATATTTATGATTCCACAAAACTCTTAGCTTTGCTGGAACAGCCAAATCCTGCTACTGCACTCTGGAAAAAATATATAAATCTAAACGCTAATGATTTTAAAACACTGCTTTTGTATAAGGAAATGCTTGAGAAAGTGAGGGTGGAGAGACATTGAAAAACATATCAAGAAAATTGGATGGAATGGATTGAGAAACAGTAACAACTTCCATTAAGCCTTTCTCCCATTTTTCCAACTTGCCTTTTCAGCAATTATACATCCATTTTTCTCTTAAAGCAGGAATGAGCGAATTAGGTTGAATTCCACTTCCCGTTAGCCCTCTCCAGTGTGACCAAAAATATTGTACTTCATGATAATTAATCTAGTTCAGCAATCCCTGGGATTGCTGCCTCAAAAGACCTGGAATGGTGAAATGTTTTTGTTCTGATCTCCAAAAGGCTGAGAAATCACAAGAAACAAAGGCAGTATCTTCAAACACTCTTCAGTTTTCCTTTGATGCACAAACTCCATACATTCTTGTGATAGAACATTGCCTTGGGCTAAGTTTGTCTGGCTAATTTTATTTAGTACCTTGCTTGTACCTTACTTGCCCTGTTTGATGGCCAAAGAATATGATTTATATGAGAATATATATGAGAATATGATATATAATGAAATGTTTGGAAACCAACCCACAAGCTAGGAGAATGAACCTTCACTCTCAATGTCCCAAAGATGCTTTTCCAGGGAACGACTTTTGCCTCCTGAAAAAGTACCTTTGGGACAACCATGACCTGGATGACTGAGAATCTCTACAGACTTTACCCTCAATATGATTCTGGAATATATTCTGGAATATATAGACATGTTAATAAGGATATAATCTTCGGGCATAATTTTGGCTTGATAAATTTTATTTTGGAATTTGGAGGTTCTCAAGAACAAGAATTATTAAATTACTTGTGATTATTTTTATTTGGTGTGAAGAGTCATTGTCATTTGGGGGGAGAGGGATTGTTTTCTATAAATCCTTACCTTGAAAGTATAGAGTTTCATATGTATCATAAGCTCCATTTGTGTCTTCTTTTTAGTCTGCAATGAAGGAAAAACCTAACCATTAAATTTCTCAGAGCTTCCTTGGGTATCACGTTTCTTCCTCTTGGAGAACTCCCAATGGGATATATTTTTTAAAAAAATATTATTCTGTATGTAGATTTTTAAAAATAGTTCGTACTAAAGTTCCTTCTTAATTTAGGGCAGTCTTGATCTCAACTGGGCCATTATATATTTTGTTTACAGTAAGAAGGGGTTACACATATGTGCATAAAATGTAGTTTTAAAATTCATTCCAAGAAGATTGGGATGAATTGGATCAAGAACATATGATTCCAAGCCATATTTAATCTAGCCCCTAAAGTCATTAAACTACACTCCACAACCAGTCTAATCCTCTAGAGTTAAACTCTACTGACTTTAATGGAATTTACATCCAAAATAATGTGTACAAGGCTACAGGTCTAAATTATGTTTAGAATAATTTAACTCTGACAAGGTAGATCTTGTGACATAAAGGGTATCTGTATGTATTGTGTGTGAATAAACACTGCTCAAAAAAATAAAGGGAACACTTAAACAACACAATGTAACTCCAAGTCAATCACACTTCTGTGAAATCAAACTGTCCACTTAAGTAGCAACACTGATTGACAATCAATTTCACATGCTGTTGTGCAAATGGAATAGACAACAGGTGGAAAGCATAGGCAGTTAGCAAGACATCCCCAATAAAGGAGTGGTTCTGCAGGTGGTGACCACAGACCACTTCTCAGTTCCTATGCTTTCTGGCTGATGGTTTGGTCACTTTTGAATGCTGGCGGTGCTTTCACTCTAGTGGTAGCATGAGTTGGAGTCTACAACCCACACAAGTGGCTCAGGTAGTGCAGCTCATCCAGGATGGCACATCAATGCGAGCTGTGGCAAGAAGGTTTGCTGTGTCTGTCAGCGTAGTGTCCAGAGCATGGAGGCGCTACCAGGAGACAGGCCAGTACATCAGGAGACATGGAGGAGGCCATAGGAGGGCAACAACCCAGCATCAGGACCGCTACTGCCGCCTTTGTGCAAAGAGGGACAGGAGGAGCACTGCCAGAGCGCTGCAAAATGACCTCCAGTGGGCCACAAATGTGCATGTGGCTGCTCAAACGGTCAGGGTGGTATGAGGGCCCGATGTCCACAGGTGGGGCTTGTGCTTACAGTCCAACACCGTGCAGGACGTTTGGTATTTGCCAGAGAACACCAAGAGTGGCAAATTCCCCACTGGCACCCTGTGCTCTTCACAGATGAAAGCAGGTTCACACTGAGCACATGTGACAGGGTCTGGAGACGCTGTGGAGAACATTCTGCTGCCTGCAACATCCTCCAGCATGACCGGCTTGGCAGTGGGTCAATAATGGTGTGGGGGGACATTTCTTTAGGGGGCCGCACAGCCCTCCATGTGCTCACCAGAGGTAGCCTGATTGCCATTAGGTACCGAGATGAGATCCTCAGACCCCTTGTGAGACCATAGGCTGATGCGGTTGGCCCTGGGTTCCTCCTAATGCAAGACAATGCTAGACCTCATGTGGCTGGAGTGTGTCAGCAGTTCCTGCAAGACGAAGGCATTGATGCTATGGACTGGCCCGCCCGTTCCTCATACCTGAATCCAATTGAGCACATCTGAGTCATCATGTCTCGCTCCATCCACCAATGCCACATTGCACCACAGACTGTCCAGGAGTTGGGGGATGCTTTAGTCCAGGTGTGGGAGGAGATCCCTCAGGAGACCATCCGCCACCTCATCAGCATGCCCAGGCGTTGTAGGGAGGTCATAGAGACACATGGAGGCCACACACACTACTGAGCCTCATTTTGACTTGTTTTAAGGACATTACATCAAAGTTGGATCAGCCTGTAGTGTTTTTTTCCACTTTAATTTTGAGTGTAACTCCAAATCCAGACCTCTATGGGTTGCTAAATTTGATTTCCATTGATAATTTTTGTGTGATTTTGTTGTCAGCACATTCAACTATGTAATGAACAAAGTATTTAATGAGAATATTTCATTCATTCAGATCTAGGATGTCTTATTTTTGTGTTCCCTTTATTTTTTTTGAGCAGTGTATAATGCTTGACCTAAGTTAGGTTATGGCCTTTTTAGCACCATCCCTACAGCCAAAATTGGCAACTAAGTACATCCAGTGGTTCATTTTTCACTTATCCTTTAAAAATGTAGCCCTTATATGTGTTAAACTTCTAATAAATTAAAGACACTGGCTTTTAAAAGCCAAGCCATCCTGGCGCTCTCCCATTGACAATAATCCCAAGTCTCTGCAACACACAAAGACCAAAAACAATCTTGAAGAAAAGAAACGTAGTCCTCAGCTCCCAAACAGTTGTCCTTCCTGGTTCTGGGCTTAGGATAGAAGGACTGGAATGTGTTGGTGCATTTCTGGATGCTTTACAGTAAATTAGCAAGGAGATTTAAGACCAAATTCATTAATAACAAAAATATCAAAAGAACAATTTTCCTTTCTAAATAAGAATACTGAACATAGAACATTTGAGGAAAATTTAGGACTCAAGATTTTAAATTGTCCTTTAAATCGAGGCAAAGAGGCAGCCTGTTTCCTTAATGTGAGTAATGCACATATGCACATGGAAAACCATTGTTTTATATCTAAACAAACAGCCTTGGCCCCTTCTGCCTGCCCATTTCCACATCTAGACTCTACTGATTAACAGGCTATAAATAGCAATTCAGTTATTTCTGTCAGTAAAACTATATATAGTCTTATATAGGAAGCAAGACTTTAATGCTTCGAACACCCTGTCAACAAAAAGAATTCTCACGTGATGCTTTTTTATAATAAAAGCTTAAACATTTGGGAAATACTATTTATTGGGGTTTTTCCTATATTAAACTGTTTTATACAGTTGCCTTTTTTATTAGGGAATTGGTTGTGCCTCAAGGGCAGATTAACAGTTGTGTTCTTTAGAGCCATCTGGTGCTATTAACAAGTATCACAGAACGTACATGCTATTTTACCAAGAAAAAACAAAATATTTTTTTAAAAAGATCATTCTGCAGATCCTTAATTATGGAATTTCTTTTCTTTTAATATTTTGAGCTACTGCCCAAAATTTTTTATTTCAATCTACACATACATAACAATACTTTAACAGTGTGGCATCAATATATCATACATTTTAGTATAGGCAAAATTAATAATACCAATCATGTCTCTCAATGCTTGTATTCACATTAAATCACAATCCTACAATGCTTATTTTCAACCTTTCAATACTCTCTCCAAATGCCTACCACCATATCAATTAAACATACCTATTTTTAAAAAAAAATAAAGAATTCTCATTTGGCAAGCAGTGCAGTTCCAGGTTTCACATCTCAATACAAATATGACCATAATTACCTATTCATTTTATTTGTTTAATTTCATATTCCATCATCATCATTATTAAATATTAAGCTTATCTAATCCAATTTCAATTCATGTTATATCTTTCCATTTCTCTAAGTATGTTCTCCTATTCTTATTTTACAATGTTATTTAAAATTCTCATCTCATTTCTATATTCATTTATTCAATTCCAATTCATGTTATATCTCTTTCCATTTTTCTTAGTATATTCTCCTATCTTATGTTACAATGTTATCTAGAATTCTCATCTCATTTCTATATTCATTTCTCATTTTACTTTTCCCTGTCACATTTGTCATTTTATCCATCCTTATCTATGAATATAATTGTCCCCTTTGGTTAATAATTTGAGCTAACCACCTTCATTCTACCTTAATATCAATCTCCCTATTTGATATATAACACATATATATTTTCCTCAGATTCTGCATTACATTTTAATACCTTATAAATCATCTATACATTAAAAAATACTTTTCTATTTTCAATATATTCTTATACAACACATCATATTACCTTGCGGAATCGATTATGGAATTTCTTGAAGCAGTGTTATTACTGAATTTTAATATTTTTTATCTTTTATCATTTCATAAGAAACAATACTGGACATATCTGTGTCACAGGATGATTCATTGACACTACAATATGTGAATCATGTCCAAGTGTTTTTGTTTTAAGTATTTTCATATTTGTTCATTGAGAATGTAATTGTGATGTGTTTTTTAGTATTTTTACCATAGGCTAAATAAATGTCTTTCTTAGACTTGGGGCTGTACTACCGGTATATCTAATACTGTATCCATTTTCTTTGCTTCTGTGGTGAGAAGTTTAATTGCATTCAAATGTATATTGTAGAAAATCTTTGCTGTTGAATGAATGCTGTAAGTATCTCCTAAGTGCCACAGAATTTCTTCAAATGTAATTAACTCCACTAAAACAGTGACTTTCTGTAACTTCCAAAGAGTATTTCTTACTTTGCAGTGATAATAACATTCTTTTTAAAAATGCATTATTATGACTCCCTGCAGGGAATTACAATGTTGTGAAAGTGATTATTATTATCCTGATAAAGTTCTCTATTCCCTTTCTAGAACTAAAATCATTTATGGTTTTTGGAAGAATATTTTTTTTTCTTGGAGGCATGCTTTTAGTGTAAAGTGAGCTTTTTAAATAATGTGAATTCCTCATTAATTACTTTAGTCCACCTCTTTTTAAATGCTTTGCTTGATTCAGGAGCTAGAGCACAAAGATTATTTATTATTATTAATTTATTTACCTGATAAATATAAACACTAACATAACATTCTTTAGAAAAAGCAATAGGTAAAAACATATCCAAAATAAGGGGGCATACATACATACATACATTATGGAGTGAGAGTTTATAAATCTTATAAGTGAAATAACATTCAAGGTGTTATGTCCTTTAAAGTCTTACATTGCATGGGGCCAGATTATCTATGGAACCATCTTTGCCGCATTACATCAGCCCATTCACCCAGGCAGGGAAGGTATGTTGCAGATGCCATCAATTAAAGAATTCTGACTGATAGGGTCCAAGAAGAGAACTTTCTCTGGCGTTGCTCCCACCCTCTGGAACAGTCTCCCCTGCCACAGAAGTGAAGCGGGCCCCCATTCTCCTGCCTTTTGGAAATGTTTGAAAACATGGGCTCTGCTGTTTTGCTTGAGGCAAAACAGCACACAGTTATGGGACTGGGTAGTGTTCAGAAGGCCCTCTCCCTATCTTTTAATTCACTTTAATGTTCAATTCTAACCATCTTTCCTTTTTAAAAAAATTATATATAGTGTTCATATTTTAATATTTTATTTGTATGCTGCCCAGAGTCCCCCTGTGAGGGAGCTACATGGTTTCTAAATGTGATATTTTTTTCAGAATTTCCATTTATATGTGTTTTCATTTTTTCTTCCATTCAATCATGTCCAATTCTCAAAGACTGCCTGGATAAGTCCCTGCACTTTTCTTGACAAAGCTTTTCAAAAATGGCTTGCCAATCACTCCTTCTTAGACTGAGAGAAAGTGACTGGCCCAAAGTCATCCAGCTGACTTCATGCCCAAGAGGGGATCAGAACTCACAGTCTCCGGATTTCTAGCCTGAACCATGACTCCAAACTGGTTCTCACAGGTGTTCTTATAAAGCTGTTAATCCAAAATATCACAAATCTTTCTAATTATTGTGCAACAGATTGTAAAATTATATTGCTTTATCTCCACAAGTACATTCTTTGAAAATTCGCATATTTATTTCAATTACCGTGTCATTCTAATTCCAAGCAAAACCCAATTACAAAGATGGATTCAGACTGAAACTAATTAAATTATCTTCATTATGATGTGATCAGGATTATATTAATGATTCATCTGGGCAGCATGCAATAGATAATGATCTAATAAGACCTGACACTCCTAAGTTAATATTGAATTTTACAGTACTAGTATTAATTTTCAAAACCAGAAAGTAGTTTATGCAAAGCGTTTTCTTTCCAGTAGGTCATACCCTAGAATCAACCATACAGTCCTGTTCTTTCCTCTCATCCTTTGAAATATGTTTGATGAGTACAAGAGATATAGCCAACAGCCATTTTGCAGGGAGCAAATAACAAAGCTATCAGAAACTTTATTGGGTTAATCAAAGAAATTATCTTTTTCCACTTTTGAAGATGGATTCTCTAATACCCTGAAATCATTTATTATGGTTAGTACTGTTTTATTGTGCTTTGATGTGGTTGCCCTTTCTATTATCTAAAGATGGTTGGAAAGGTATAACATGCAATTTAAGTAAATACTAATCAAATGTTTATGCTAGATGCAGATGGTTCAGTATATTTGCAGGACAGCACTGTGCTTTTTGTGTGCATATATGTATGTGCACACGTTCAGTTAGTCTACACACCTGGCAATTAGTTGGACTAGTCTTTGCAAGGGTTTTTTGGAAAAATTTCAAAAATCTTCATTTTGCCGCCATCTTTTTAGGACTGAGAACGAATGAATGGCCGAAAGCCACCCAGCTGGTTTTGTAACAAAATTGTGACTACAACTTAGGATCCTTCCAATTTGTTAAGTCCCTATCTTTTATATGCTATTTCTATTCCACATGTATCTTGTGCTACTATCTGAAGACTTAGATTTTTGAGGTTCATGGGATCTGGAATCTAGTACTGCCATTGGATGCTTGGGTAATTGCTTCATATCTCATTGCACTTTAGAGTGTTTCAAACATCCTAGGACTGCCTAGAGAAATAAAAAATTAATACCCCTGTTATCACTAGTCTATAAGTAACTTACATAATTTTTTTTCAGGGAATGTTTTCCTTTGGATAGTGAGATGGTGGCAAATGTAATTAATAAATAAATAAATTTTCTAACATTGCTATCAAATAGTATGATGAGGAATGACTGCATAACATATTGAACCAGGCTCCAAAATAACAACTAATCTTCTAAAAATTAATTGGGTTCACTCAGTCCACTCAGAATATTTAGTTTAGTTTGTAAATTAGGGTAAACAAATTTAGAATTATATATGGGCTGTCATTGTAGCTTGTGACAAATACAGTTGAAATCACTAACTTAGGATAATCTTATCTATTTATAGGACTGCTCAATCAAAAAGAAACTTTAAGGCAGTCGTGTGAATACCAAACACTGAATAAAATACTCAAATAAATCGAAATCCTTCTTACTGTCTAAATGCAAGCTTAATAATAGTAATATAAAGATAGGTGGATAAAAATGCCAAATCTAAATAATTGATTATGTGACCATCTGTTATAATAATAACACATTAATATGCTGCCCAGTGCCCAACTCTCACCGATTCTGGGCAGCATATAAATTTAATAAAATTATCAACTACTACTACTATTTGGACAAATGGTTCAACACATTTCATTGACATTCTGGTGATCTAAATTTCTGATGATGTACAAATAATGTCTGGTCCGTAAGCCAGTTTGGTCTAATGGTTTCTACATTACAACTTACAAGTTCAAGTCCTGCCTTAGCCATAAAAGCCAGCTGGGTCACTTTGGGACAGTAATTCACTTCCAACCTAATCCATCTCACAGTTATTGTGGGGAAAATAGGAGGAGGAATATTTGCCGCCTTGAGTCGTTTGTAAAAATAATAGAAGCAGGATATATGTACATTTATATAAAAAATATCAAATATAATACACCCATATATTATTGTTATATTACATTATATTGGTTATAATAAATATATATACACACATATACATATATACATGCATATATGCATATATGCACATATATAATAAATATAAATATAGTATAGCATAATATATGTGTTCTCAGATTCTCACTGAAGTAAAGCTTAATCCTCCTTAGTTGCTTCAAACAGGTCATGACATAAGTTTCTCCTACCAATTTCAGCAGAATTAAACGGCAGCGATTCAAGAGACTCGTCTCGACTCCTACTCCATTGAAACAGGGTAGCCGAAGGCTAAGCAAATTGGACTCCGCCGGAAGTGTAGCCGATTCTACTGCGGCATCTTTGCTGCTGAGGTCACCAGAGCAGGAAATAGTAGTCGTACCAGTTGTAGGAATAATCATGCAATTGCTCCACGGACTCCTTTTGTTGCAGTACCGCACTATGGCTGCGCCCATGTAACGAAGGAAGATTTCTATGCAGATCTTTCCAGGCCATCAATGGATCCCCCTTTCTAAAGCATTTCCCCACTTCCTTGGGGAATCCACGATCGGCAGAATTCCAAGTTCTCCCAGAACCGGAGTCTTGGGATTTCTTTGAATATGTTCGTCAAGCCTTTCAGGGTAAAATCCAACACCGCTATCAAAGGTTCCGATAGGTGAGTTTGCTTTCTTTCATTTCAAGGCATTATATTCTTGGGCAGTTGTAAATCGGGATATATTCATGTTGATCACAAGGAGCAGTTTTATGTGAGCAAGCCGAAGACTCTTTACACGATAAGGACGACGCGGTTTTGAAAGTCTGAGGTCAATAAATGCCTGCTTCAGCGTGAATGCAAACTTTGATCGTTTTCTTTACAGACATTAATATGCTGCCCAGTGCCCAACTCAGTGGAATCTTCCCCAGTGGAAAGATTGATGGCTGACAGATAAAAGTGATCTGATTGTTACTCCAGCACTGCATACAGTATGCATCAAAAGGAATGTTGGCCTCAGATTTTGTTTTGACAAAACAATAACGATCTTCTAAATATGTGTTATGAAATGAAATGTAATTATCTAATCTTGCCATCTTTAAAATAAACATTACAACCCTAGAATAATTGACAATTTGGGTCCTCATTTTACTCACCTCCGAAGGAACCTTGAGCCTGGTAAGATTTGAACTGCCAAATTGCAGTCAGCTGGCATCAGCAGAAATGCCCTGCATTACTGCACTCTAACCATTGTGCCATCCTGGGTTATAACTCTGTAGTATCTGACAACATTTTTTGTTAAAGGGATTATTTGGGCTTTATATCTAAGGTATTAGAGTTTAGAAATTGATTGTATTATTTGTACCAATAAGATTATTTCTCAATATTTGATATTTTTTTAAAACTGGTATTCTTCAAACTGCTTTTTTATCTTATTAGCTATTTGCCATCACTGAAACAGGTTTCCATTCAAAGTAGATAATTCATTGATACAGTTACCATTTTAAAAAAGGACAATAAATAGGTAGTTCTTGACTTACAACCATTTGTTTAGTGATTGTTAGAAAAAAATGACTTATGACCATTTTTTCACTTACAATCTTTGCAGCACCCCCATGGTCATGTGATCAAAATTCAGGTGTCACTGGCTTATATTGATGACGGTTGCAGTGTCCTGAGGTCAGATGATCACTTTTTACGACCTTCTGAAAAACAAAGTCATGGGGAAGCCAGATTCACTTAACAGCCCTGTTACTAAATAAACAACTGCAGTGATTCAATTAACAACTGTGGCAAGAAAGGTTGTAAAATGGAACAAAACTCATTTAACAACTGTCTTGCTTAGCAACAAGTATTTTGGGCTCAGTGGTGGTCATAAGTTGTGGACTACCTGTATAGAATATATAACTGATTTGAGATAAGGGTTTTAGGATAGCTTGCCAGACTTAAAATGGCTTCGGGGTTTTTAAAGTAACTTTTTAAATGTTATAGCATGCTTATGATATCTGTATATTTTCTGTGAATTGCTTGGGTGGATAAAAAGAATGAGGATATTAAGAAAACAAGTATTAATAACTAATTTATTACTAAAAACTTCTCATAATTTTATATATAGGTAATTGCAGATTGAATAATTTGGAATTCCAGGGATGACTATTTCTTGGTATGTAGTAACAAATATAAAATTAATAATTGCAGGAGGAAATTGCGAAATGATGTTGCAGCAGTATTTCCCACCCTAACTTCAGAACAACTGGCTGAAGTTGTGCCAATGAAAGAGGAATTGAATATTATTAAAATATATACTCATAAAGGAGAAACTGTCACAGTCTATGCCAATGGCAAAAATCCTGTCCTTTTTGAAATGGAGAAAATGCTATATCCAACAGGTACAGCAGACATTCTGGTGGGCAGTCGATGTTGATACTTGGAATTTTTGAGTTTGGTTTCTCTTTTTCTTTTTGAACAAGTTACTTGATCATTCTGAGCCTTGGTTTCCATCTCCAAGAACGGTCCAATACTTCCTAGTTATGGCAATGAAGTTTCAAAAAGTGTAATTGCAATCAGGCTTTTCATGATGCATATATTATTTCTGAAACATGGTTCATTATAACTCTTCTCAAAATGTCTATCCACTAGTGAGTGGAAAGAAGGAATTCATGCCAATTCTAGGAAGATTATGATTAGGTTGATTAGGGTTTTAGCTTCTATGTAACAGTTGTGATGATAGTAGTAAATACATACAGGTAGTCCTCACTTAACTGGTCATTTTAAACCATTCAAATTTATGACAGCCACGGAATTAGTGCTTTATTGCCAGTAGCCAATTGTCATAGATGCTAGCGTCAGTTCCACTCCCACAATTACAAGAATGCATGTTGGATGGATCAGTTTTGTGACTTGTCATGACATTCTGTAGTCACATGACTGCAATTTTTTATTTATTTATTGCCAGTTTCTGTCATTTTTTGCTGGTTTCTGGCAAAAACCCGCCCATTAAAATGAATGGATTTGCTTAACAACAGCATTGTTTGCTTAACCGTGTTGAAAAACAGTAGAAAATTGTTTCTGGTCATGGGAGTGCCTGAACCTATGATTGTAACAACTTACAACCATAATTCCAGGGTCAGTTACAGGCATAAGTCAAGGACTACCTGTATTTTATTAATAAAATTAATTTAAATTAATATATTTAGCCTAAGTTTTAGCTATCACCATTTCATCACATGTAATAGGCAACTATAGTTTAACCAAGCCATAATACCTATGCCATAAACAAGATGGTACAAAAAAGGAAGTGTGATTTTACAGATCTAACTGATCAATGATAGCCTTCCATTGTTACCCTTAGAAGTTTTAAGTATTTTGTACTCAGTGCTAATGCTAATTAAGTGATTGCTTTCTTGAGTTAGTTGAATGAAAGGTTGAAATTAGGAGAGTCATTTGTTTATGTCCTTTATTTTTCTAGTAATTTCTATTTTTTTATTTTACATTATGCAAGCCTGAGGAGAAATAAATATTAGCGAAATATTTTAAAACTATTTTCTTTTCTCTTTGGGGCAGTGTACACTTTGTGGTCTTATCCACACCTTCTTCCTGCCTTTTCTACTTGGCCACCTGTGATGCACAAATTAGTAGGAGGTGCAGGTAAGGAAATGGATTGAAAACTGTTTGGCTTTTTTGTGGGATAGTTATAGGTTAGAGAGCCAGTTTAGTGTAGTGGATAAGGTAACATTTTAAAAAATGGGAGACCCTGAATTCTAGTCCCACCTTAGGAACAAAGCCATCTGGGTAATCTTGAGCCAGTCACTCACCTTCAACTGTAGGAAGGAGGCAGTGGTAAATCACTTCTGAAAAACCTTGCTAGGAAAACTGCAGGAACATGCCCAGGCAGTCTTGGAGAATCAGACATAACTGAACAGAAGAATAAAGTTATTTCAAAGCACAGATTGCATAGATATAGATTTAATGTAAGAGTTTACTTCAAGCACCACATTGAACATAATGTCTTTTGGTGTCATGTCATGTGAAGATCACTGAGCCAAAATAAGATTTGTATAAAATAAAAGATTGTGCTGATAATTTTTAGCTACATTGCTGAAGATATGGTACTTGCTATGAAATGTACTTTGCATTTTATTACTAGTGTAATATTTTGCTTCTTGATTGATTAGTACAGAAAATTGTGAGAGGTTAACTTGCATATTTGTTCTCTTGAACATATTATGTTTCTTCCCTACAGACTTAATGCTTCCAGGAGTTATAATTCCCAAATGTGGTCTTCCCCAGGTAAAACGAGGTACTCTCTCTGCTGTTACATTGGTGAAAAACAGGTATGATTTCCAGAGAAAATTAATGCTAAAAAGGTTAATGATTTATTTATGAATTCTTATTTTTATATTCTGAAATGTTGGCTATTGCCTTTGAAAATGATAATTATATATCTCAGACAAGGTTTCCTGTGTTTTGGAGACACTTTAAAATTTTTGGCACTTCATTTTATTTTATGTTATCTGTCCTATTTTATTGGCAGCTGTAATGTGTTAAATTACATAAGGTATTCATCAGTCAAAATGTTATTGGTCCCTGTAGCATCAGATCAAACCAACATAAAACTTATATTTGTTTTTAGATGAAAAAATTGTAGGTCTTTAGCAGTGTTACAGAAATATACATAGTTGTGAATAAATGAAACATCTTCACACTGAATTAAAGCATGATATGAAGTAGTTTACATGCAGAGGCTTTCTCTTTCTTGATATCTTTTTCACCAGAAATCAAATCTAGAATTCTCTGTGTATAAAGCACATGTCCATCAATGAATTATTACTCTCTGATTGCAGATTACATATGTTTATAATATTGCAGGTAGAAGTCTCTTGAGTTCATATATTGGAGACATTTGCTTGATATATTGAAGAATTTATTTTGTGAAAGTTGCTTGTATAGGGGGAATAGTGTCAGCTTCAATTGATGTCCAAGTCTAGCATGCTTCATTATTGCAATTTATGTGCTAGAAAAATTCAAAGAAGGAAGATGACCACAGGCTTTCTATGTATATCTTTTTATGTATTAGGTAGTATCAGAGATAGTCGATGTGCTTTTTCCATAGAACATAGTTGGAAGGTACCTCTTTCTGCCTTAAAACACGTCTTAGTTACAAAGCTGATTCTTGAATTTCTGTATTAAATATAAAAATTAGGCAATTCTTTGTTGGGGGGGGGGGGAATTCAGGGGTTTTGTTTTTTTCTCATTTTAAGGTAATGCTTTTTACTATTTTGATTGTTTTTCATTACAAAAAGACCTTCCAGATCTGAAGAGCAAATGTTAACAAGAGTAGCCAAATATACTTGAAAATTCGATAATGCATTGAACAAAATACAGGTGGATTAGAAAGTGAAGAACAGAAATTGCTTTTTTAATTTTTTCCTTTAGTAACCTGTTCCTTGGAACGCTGACAGTTCTACCTTGTCTCTCTGTGACATAATCCTTGAACTTTGGTTTTTCTTCTAGATTTTAACTTTGATTTTCAGGATAAAACATAAAGCCAGTATCAGTTAATCCATGGTTTGGGTGTGATATGCAAATTAAGACAAACTGGTCTTAGAGCTGTTTTAAATGGAATAAGAGTTTGACTTAAGCATGTTGCATTCTTTTTCTTGTCTTTTTGCAGAGCCCCTGTGGCCATTGGAACAGCTATTATGACAACTGCTGAGATGGTAGCAGCTGGAATGAAAGGAAAGGGTTTCACAGTGCTTCACACTTATATGGATCACCTTTGGTGAGGACACAGACAAATTTTAAAGGATGTTCCAAATCAGAAGGAAAGCTGTTAGTTTTGGCACAATATTAATTCAAGACTTGGGGCAATTGATTTCTGGACTCTAACCTGACCACAGTAGTCCTCAACTTATGACTACAACTGAGCCCCAAATTTCCATTGTTAAGGCAGTTAAATAAGTTGTGCTTCATTTTATGATCGTTTCCCCCCACAATTGTTAAGTGAATCACTGCAGTTAAGTGAATCAGATGGTCATTAAGGGAATCTGGCTCCCCTCATTGACTTTGGTTTGTCAGAGGGCTGCTGGAAAAATTACAAATGGTGATCACATGATGCCAGGATAATGCAGCTGTCATAAGTACATGCCAGTTGCCAAGAACCCAGATTTTGATCCCGTGACAGTGGGAATACTGCAATGGTCATAAGTCTGAAAAACTGTTATAAATCACTTTTTTCCGTGCTGTGGTAACTTCAAATGATCACTAAATGAATGGTTGTGAGTTGAGAACTACCTGTACATTAAATTAGACAATATTAGATTTTATTAAATTAGAATAATCAACTTGTAAATCAGAGTTTATCGGTTGAGGCTTTATTTCAGCCATGTTAGATCAGCTTACATTTGTACTTTTGAACAATAAAAGGAAAATGTTTTGGGTATATCATCAATTTGGAGGATTGTGAGATCTCATAGTGTTTCTTTTCTTGAGTAGCCTCTAATTATGTTAGCATTGCTAATAACAAACATCAAATTAACAAACAAAAAAAGGCATGGCATTTGTTTCTAATCTTATTTGAATCTCACTTCTAAATTGGGCCTTAATATGTTTGTGATACCTACTCTTTTGTAGCCTAGTGATATCAGTGTGTCGTTGGGGAACAGTATTCCCCATACATTTTTTCTTGCAATACTAAGAAACACATTTCCCTTCTTTCTTCTATTAGGTCCTAGAATAAATTGTATGTGCCCCTACAAGGTACATGCAGGTTTGAATGGTTCCATTGACTTTATAATATTGAGATGTTCACCTGAATTGCACTGTTCTCCCTGCAAATGCAATTTGAAAATATATCTCTAATTTGTAGATGCAAAATTTCTGTCACTTCAGGCCACATTCAATTAATATTTAAAATGTGGGTGTTCTTGTGTTTGGATAGTCAGACAAAGTCTTGAATTGGCTTTAGAAATACCTTGGTCCTTTGTACTGGCTTTGTATTCATTAACTGGTATTATTTCAACTATAACTTTTATGGGATCAGATATTTATTGCTGTTTTGATTTCTCTGGAATAGGTATTACATTTTAAGTAGATTTGTTTCCATGACCTTTTTTTTGGCTGAAATTGGGATTTGGAGTAAGCCTTTTTGCATCATACGGAGTATGCTTTATCGCATTATTTATTTTCTTTTTAAATTCACAAGGGCAATTGGTGACAAATCAAGCCCACCTACAATACCCCCCTTAGAAATAGAACCTTCAGAGACGGTAGCTGGAGAAGAGGAGGAACAGAAGAATGAAGAAGGGGAAACACCTGAAAGCAGCCTCTCTCTTGATCCATCCTTGCAGATGGACATTGAACATCTCAACTTAGAGGAAGACATTTCGTGTACTATCATAGGGGGAAAAGAGGAACTCAGTCAAAACGATGCTGCTGAAAAGACTGAAGAGTACGAACCAAATATTTCTGAGGAGATGGAAGATAACAGAAGTCCACAAGGTATAATTAGAGGTTTGCACAGAAATAGATTTACTAGACGCAGAGTAGTTGCTTTGTTTATATCAGTGCTTTTCAACCTTTTCACAGACTGTGCCACTTTTAGGACATGGCAATATTTGAGTACAACCAGTTCTTAGCAATGTGTCAGAAACTAGATGACCCCTCCCCCCCAAAAGGCAAAAAGTGTAGTCCTGGACTTACAACAGTTCACTTAGTGACTGTTTGAAGTTGTAACGGCACTGGAAATAGTGGCTTATGACCATATTTCACACTTAACAACCATGGCAGCATCCCCACAGTTATGTGATTTACATTTAGATGCTTGACATCTAACTCACATTTATGATGGTTGCAGGGTCCCGGGGTTATGTGAACACCTTTTGCAACCTTCTGACAAGCCAAGTCAATGGAGAAACCAAATTCATTTAACAACCATGTTACTAATTTAACAACTGCAGTGATTCACTTAGCAAATGGGGTAAGAAAAGTCGTAAAAGGACAAAGCTCATTTAACTAATTTCTCACTTAGCAACATAAATTTTGGGCTCAATTGTGGTCATAGGTTGAGGACTATCTGTACACCCACTTACCACACTTTTAATGGGAAACTTGTAGCTGTTTCTTTGACATTAATCTTTGCATTCATGGAGCATGCACATTGATAGAATTAAGTCAGATTCCAGCTGAAGACAATTCAAAACCAATAAACCTGGAAATAGTGAAGTTAAAGAATTGCTCACACAGCTTGCTTGCCCATTGTTTACAAAATTACCACTTAATGAAGCAACATGCCTGCTTATGCTTGCATGACAGACTTGCATGACCATTCAGAATCAGATCCATATGGTACCAAAGGCTAAACATGACTGTTGGCCCCTGATGCCACCAGCAGTTTTTACTACACTTTGCTTTAGAAATCCCAAACAATCTCTTTGCAAAAGAAGTCAGGGAATAATGGAAGCTCAGCAGGTTGCAGCAATTCCTCCTCCATTCCTCAGAACCCAGTAGAGTAAAAGAAGAGGGAACCCATAAGGAACTGCAGCACCTCCGCAATATCTTCCTGACTGTCCCTCGAAAGGAAACTTTTGAAGTTGGGCTCAAGAATCAGGTTCTTGAGTGAATAAGAAATAAAACTTTGGCAGAAGAGATACGTGTTACTACTTTTAATTAATGAGGGATAGATAACTTGTTGATTTATTTCTATATTTTTTGCTTTATAGCTCTACATTTTTAATTTAAAAATTACATAAAATCTTTGTTTGAAATCATGTTAGCGGTGTAATGCTAGATAACACAGAACCATGAATTTAATTAGAAATGACTTTATATGCAAACCAATATTGGATTCTGTGCTGAGCCCATTGAGGAACATATGGTGCTAATGTTAATTTTTTACAGAACAAATGGATGCCCTGCTTTATCAGTGTTTCTTTCATGCCTTAAAATGTAAAGTGAAGAAGTCAGAGCTCCCCCTGCTGACCAGTACGTTTTTGCGTAACTACATGTTTTCCTGCTGGTAAGTATTTATTATTTATTTTATTTATTATATTTTTACACCACCCATCTCACTCTGAGTGGTTTACACAGCATAATGTAGCAATCTAAACACACGACTAAAAGCACAATTCAAAAGCAAAATTAAACAAGTGAAGTGATAACTGGGAAAATCAAAGTTTAAAAATTCATATCTAACAATACAATGGACTTTTTGAAAGCTGAATATTAAGTTTGCTGCAAAGGAGTAGTTCTCAAAATGTGGTCCCTGAGACCCTTTCAGGGGATCCATGAAGTCAAATAAATATTTTAACATTTAACATATTCATAGTTACACCTACATAAGTCAAAACTCTTTGATATACTTAATTATTTTTAAGAATGTAAAGGGCTCCTGAGAACATAATGTGTGAAAACAACTGCTGTAGAGAATTGTTTTCTGTTTGTACCTCCAAGATTCTACCCATGTTTACCATGCCTGATATGTCACTATACTTTATTTATTCAGAACATAATTGATTAACCTGAAAAATATGTACTACATCCATGAATAGCATTTGCATGTACAAAGAGCAAGTTAATACAATAACACAAGATTAGTATTTTTGAACCTAGTATCCTAATATGGCAGTATACCACAATTAGCTCTATGATATTTCAGCTCCCATAATTCATAAACTTAACTCAGTGACGGCAAAAACATTATGTTATATAATTTAGCGTCCTACTCTGGTTTAGTTAAAGATTTTGCTCTCATTCCAACAATTGATTGGAAGATTATTAGTTAGATATACTAATTGCAACAAAAACAAAAACAAAGGGGACATGCATAAGCGCACCAACGTGCTTACCGTCCCTGTCCTATTGTTTCTCTTTTTCTTATATGTATCCATTTCATGTATTCATAATGATGCTTATACCTGTTATCTTATAATCGCTTGACAAAATAAAATGAATAAAATAAAAATAAAAATAAATAAAAACCATGCCCTACCCTCATGATAGTTATGCAGCTTCTGACAGTTGTTGACTGTTTTCAGCGCCTAGATGCGTGCTTTTCAAATTTGGTACTTTTAAAATATATGGACTACAACTCTCAGAATTCCCAGGCCAGCACACTGGTTAGGGAATTCAGGGAACTGAAATCCACATGCCTTAAAAGTGAAAGTTTAAAAAACACTGATCTAGATTAAACCTTTTTAAAGTCTATGTAGTTTGAAGTAGAATTCGCACATGGAGCCAAGACTTCAGTTAATTCTTGTTTAATCCAGCTCACTGTCTTCCAATCAATTTTACTTCTCAAGATCCCACCCAAATAGAGCTCGTTTTTGTCCATTATTTGAAGTAGAAATACCACTGATTAAACTTGGAATTATATGTATGTAAAGCATGCATTTCTATACTGAGTGAAGTTCTGGTGATTCTCAGCTTGTTATCTGCAACATGGTTTAGAACCATTAATCATGAAAGTTGCAAAGTACACAGCTGACCTCCTTTGAACATTCAGAGAGTGAAAATTCTTGTATTGGGGAATGTAAAAGCTTCCTTATATGTAAGAATATTCTGAATTAAACCAGATCCTTTAACTGCACATGAGCATGTAAGAGCTCCTTTATGCTGTATATAAGGATATTCAGGATTAGGCCAGATTGTGCAGGAACAATCCTTCTGTATTGATTAATGGATTGAAGTTACTTTGAAGTTTATGCTCTCTCTCTCTCTCTCTCTCTCTCTCTCTCTCTCTCTCTCTCTCTCTATATATATATATATATATATATATATATATATATATATATATATATGTATGTTTTTGCAAAGTACTTATAGGTAGGAGTCAAAATCCTATACACATAATTAAATGAATTAATATATGAATTTAGCAAGGATGTATTTCTATTTAGCTTATTCTAAATGATGCAGATTTTGTTTTATAATTATTTTTTCCTTTAATTTATTAATAGTCCAAAAGATCAACAACTGGATATAAAGAAATCTAGCTACAAAAAGGTGAATAGTTGTTTCTTTGCGTATTTATGGAAGTTTGCAGTAAAAAATTATTTGATTTAATACGGTGGGGGTTTTCTTAGTTTCACATATTTATGTGACCATCTAACTTTGCTGGGTGCCAAAGGGTTCTGCCCGCCTACCTCCTTTTTAATATCTACATGAAACAGCTGAGAGAGACCATTGGTTGGGTTCAGGGTGATTTATTATCAAAATACTGATGACACCCAGCAACACATCACTGTCACCAGCTGTCCAAATTAAATTGTCGAGGTTCTTTCCCAGTACTTTTGGCTCCCCTAGATGTGGGAGTTTCAGAGTTTCCATTTTATTTCTGGGTCAGAGGACTCCCAATTAGTTAAAACTCTATATGGCATAGGACCAGGTAACCTGAGGGACTGCCTTTTCCCAAGAACATCTGCCTGTCCCGTATGGTCCCACAAGAAGAATGTGCTTCAGATTCCTATAGGACCTAGAAAGCATGCCTTTTTCTGTGGTTGCCCCTGTTCTCTGGAATGCTCCCTCCCTCCGATATATGGCAGACCCCAACTCTTTTCATCTATACAGTAAGGTAGCCATTAAAGCCTGACTCATCTCCCAGACATTAGGGACCTTTTTTAATTCTGTATGCCATCCAATCACACACTGTTTGACTTGGAAAGCTGTATAAAATGTAAAAATAAATAAATAGACCCATGTTTAGTCCATTCTAAACCTTAGAAATTCACTGGGTGCCTGGGCTAGTTCTGTCTCATTCTTTATCTCTCAGCCAAAGCTCCCTGACAGGGTTGCTGTTATCTAGATAAAATGGAGAATGACACCACCACCACCCCGCCCCGTGCAAAATCTTACAGAATCTTACAGAAAAGGAAAATACAAATCTTAATACATACATACATACATACATAAATCTAGGGAATACTGGAAGTGAACAATGCACATGACCATATAGATATATTAAAATATTTTGGATCATAGTGCAATCCTGAGATATACTCAGAATTAAATCTCACTACATGCAATGGAAGTGCCATTTTAGGAAACCTGATGTGTTATATCAAACTGAATAAAAATGAGTAAGTAGTATGTCATCTTCTTTTTTAAAATATATTTTTTATTGTTTACAACTATAATTACCAAGCACAGTGAAACCATTTTGGCATTACTTTGCCTTACATACAAAAATATAACCAAACCATTAATGTTCCTATTGTTGGTACAATATTTACATTTTGATTCTAATCCTCCTAGCTATTTTTGTTATGTAATTTCATCTCTATCATTGACTACACAGTGTAAATAATTTGGAAACTGCTCTAAAACTGCCCGACTCTGTTGTTACAGTCTCAAACCCTCACAGCTTTAACTTCAAACTGTCTTACCGTGAATCTCATTCCATTCTTAAGAGGTCCTTAAAGGAGGCGTACATAAGTGCACCAGCATGCCTACAGCCCCTGTCTTACTGTCCTTTGTTCATCTTTATATTCATACCTATACTTGTTATCTTGTACATGTTTGACAAACAAAATAAATAAAATAAATATTTGAAACGTAAAGCATAGATTTTGTATCCACATGCAAATTCATGGATTAAAAAAGTATAATGGATAAAGTGGGTTTTTTAGAATTTGCCAAAAATTTTCAATTCCATTTTCAAACCAGTATTTAAAAAATACAACACTGTATTTGTAGTATTAGTTACTAGTAGCACATTGTGTCTTTGATAATTCATTCAATTGTATACACTAAATGATCTATGTGGGTCAAGCAACAAATGAACAGATTGATTTGTACTTTCCCATTGATATTTGCAAATAGTTTGAGTCATGGCAATCTTTTTATTGTAGCAATATTGTAAGTTTTCTCCTACAATGTTGCAAAAAAATTGTGCTAAGAAATTTGTCCTCCCCCCCCCTCCTTTTTCAAGACATAAGGTCTGGGATAATTCCAATTTAGGAAGGAGATTAACAATATATTTTGTATTCATAACATTTCCAACAATGTCTCTACAACATAAATTGCTTGCTCTGTATTATTTTACTTATTCATATCTTCTTAACAGAATAGAATAGAATAACAGAGTTGGAAGGGACCTTGGAGGTCTTCTAGTCCAACCCCCTGCTTAGGCAGGAAACCCTACACCATTTCAGACAAATGATTATCCAGTCTCTTCTTAAAAACTTCCAGTGTTGGAGCATTTACAACTTCTGGAGGCAGGTTGTTAATTTGAAGGTATCTATTCAAGTGATGTGTATTTTAGTATATTGCCATTGCAGCCAGCCCAAAAAATAAATCCATGTTTATTGTAGCCCAAAGAACTTCCCAATATTGTTTGTGAACAGACTACTATCAGCCTATGCTTTATCACCTAGGCTCCCTCTTTTTTCATCTGTATCCCAAGTCTGCAGTGAAGAGTAGACATTCCTTGGACAGTATCCCGTTTTCTTTGGACTGCCTTACGGCTGATATTGCTATTTTGTCCCAATATTCACATATAGCTATTTTTCTCTCTTAGTTCTCAAAATTTTTGCAGTCAATGCAACAGCAGAAGATTCTCCAGGTGAAAGAACTGAATAAGGGTGTGGAAAGTATTGTGGAAGTAGATTGGAGACATGAAAGGTAAGACTTTGAATCACGTAACCGCAAACTTGAAAAAAAGGGTAGAAATTTAAATTGGATGTCCCTGATGCTTCTCTGGGCTTGGTTGTTTTCTTGCAGAAATGATTAAAAAAACCATTTCAAATCGAGGTCATGGGACCATGGAATACTGTAACCAGTTATATAAATGTGAGCCAGTTGCCAAGCTCCCATAATGCAATCATATGACCCTGGGGGGAACGGCAATCATAATTTTGAGGATGATTAATGATCCTAAGAATTATTTTGCTAGTGTTTGGTTAGAATATTTACCAGTGGTTCGGCTGTTGGTTGCCATATCTCTGTAGATAGTCTATCGACAATTGTAGACTTCCAACTTGATAATGACTTGAGTGCTAATATAAATTTATCTTCTAATATAGAAGATCTTATAAATAAGGAATACTTTCTAAGACAACATGGAAGTTGACAATAATAAATAATAAATCTGTACTGCACAGATTTTCAGTGTATCTTTGGTCTTCTTTACATCGGTCTTTGGCATTCTAACAAGTTTGTGGCTAGAACTTTCTGAATTCAGAGATCTTTTGAAAGACTTTCTTTGTTTTTACATCTCTGTTTTTATCTTCAATGTCCTTATAGATACTGCCTCTTGTCCCTTTTATAGCTATCTGAAATTATTCAGTTCCTTCTTTGATATTTTTGTCTTTCTTAGCTTTGGCTTCTCTTCCTATCAATTTCCACCATTTATTCCGATATACAGATTGCATTCTGTTTTTTTTCTGTATTTGTCAGTCTCTGTTTATGCTAACAATTTCTCTGATTTCACTTCATAGTTCCTCTGGTTCTTATCAGTAAGTTTCGGGACTTCAAAGTGATTTCTGATAATTTTCTAGAAAATGGTGGGTGTATGCTCAGGCTCATAGAAACTAGTTGGCTTTGTTCTTCCACTGTAGCTTGGGTTGAAACTTACAGATAAGCAGTTTGTCATCTGTTCCATAGTCAGCTCCTGTCTGTCTTTAATTTATGACTTAGCTCTTTCACCACTATAGTCACTTTGATTTCTGTTTATCTGATAATAGCCATTTATAAGGACATCATTTTGGTTATTTAAATACTGTGTCAGCAATGAAGAAATGGTTCTCCTGCTTCATTTCTCTGTTTTTTGCTTAATATTTCCAACTTTGGCATTCCAGTTGCCAACCACAAACAGTATAATATGCTTGCAGGTTTTGGCAGTTTCAGATAGAAATTGACCGTAAAAGTAATCAATACCAATAGTTTGGAATATTAACTTGGGTCATAATCCTAATAAAGGATTGTTCTCAAAGTCTAACTGCGATTTTTGGTCATTGTCTTCATTGCACCAAAATATTGCCCTTCATCATGAAAGCAACACCATTCCTTCTTTATTTTTCATGTCCTGAGTAATAAACAGTATGATCTTCTAACTGAAAGTTCCAGTCCATTTCAATTTTTGGATGCTTAAGATATCAATATATAGTTGAGTCATTTTATCTTTCACTGTTTTGAACTATTCCACATTCAGGTTTCTTATATTCCATGTTTCCATTGCAATTTTTTTGGCATCGTCAGGTTTTCTTTTCCTACATGTCTGTATCAGCAACTAGACACTCCAGAGGCTTTAATATTAGCCATGACATAGACCTCATTAATAGTCCAGAATATCCTCAGCTCTTTAGCAGGCTAAATGCCATCAAACCTGAAGGGCCCATCATACAGCACTGTATTGCCAATCTTATAATATTGTTTATCCATGCAGTAGTTATAGTAAAATATAGTAGTTTGCCATTGCCTTTGCATTTCCTCTCCATAGTGTCCTTGGCTAATTTGATCCTCAGCTTCCAGAATCTTTTTATATAGCTGCTACCTTGTGCCTGCTTGCTTGCTTTAATTGGGTTATTGGGAGGATCTTCATGTATTTGGTAACTTTGCCTGGAATATGTACTCTTGGAATACACTCCCAGCATTCCATTTCCATGATGAGGCAGCAAAGCAGATCTTGAGGGGGATTAAAAAGATTAGACCAGACTAATACTAAATGCTTTCTCAGATATAGAAAGTGTAGAGCCATAAATATCTGCATTATATTAGAGGTGAGGGGTCAGCAATGCAGCAACAGCCAGGCTTTTTAGAGGCATGTATATTTTCCCCACAACCAATTTTTTTTTAAAAATCACAGAACATTTTGAATGAAAATATGACAATTTTAAAAATGGGGCATCTGAGCCACTACATAACAGTGCTTTGCAACCAGAAATGTTTATCAACCCAAACATTTACTACATAATAATTAGCAAGTGATTCTTTCACCAATCCTTTTGCTGCATCAAAAGAGGTAAATTTTTGGAAAACTCATTCTAGTGCATACTTATTCAAGATAAGACTTTGGAAATCTCAGTTATTTTACTAACAAGATAATCTACACAACAGCTCACCACTGCTAATTATTACCACTACTATATATCTTTGTTCCTATGCCATTGAGCCTGTTTTTTTTTAAAGCAGTGCATTTCTAAATTGTTATGGGATGCTTAAATTATTTCTGCATTACTTTTAAATTGATAATTTGGAAGTGATGTAGAAACTATTGTGAGTAATAGATAACTGTAATGGAACTATGCATTTGAAATATGTGAAAGATTTAAAACTTTATAAATAACGATATTTAGTAGATATGAAAGGATAGCATTTAATTTTCTTTCAGTCTGTAAGTGGTAACAGATAAAGATACCAGTGGCATCTACTCAGCCATAATCTTTATGTCAGCTGTAACACATTTGATACTTGGAAAAGTTGGGGACATCTAACCTATTTCGCTTACTGCCCCAGCTTCTGAATGGCAGTGGTTATCCCTCATGTAGAGAGTGATAATGAAAAGGAGAAGAAAACGTTTGATAGGCATGGCTTCTATTCTTAGTATCAACACACACCATCCACCCTCCAAGTCATCTCACTCCAGTTTCGTGTAAAAGCTGGAACTTGGTCGTGCTTACCTGTCATCTCTTCCTATTGCTGCCCATGCTTTCTTCGCAAATCTTCCTCCTACTTCTGCTAAAAGTGGCAGTGGATTAGTGTGGATAAAGATGCATTGCAGCCCCTCTTCACCTTTCTCCTCAAGGATCATCTCTGAAAGGGTCGGCTCCTTGATTCTGGGCTCTTGGCCTTTATTTCCTACAGGAAATTCTATAGTGTTTCCGCCCCCACCCATCTGTGATGTCACATAAATATAGCATTCTGAAGTTCACATTTTACAATAACTTTGATGAGATCTTACTTGTGCTATACCTTGACAGGTGTGGTATCAGGGCTTTCTGTAGTAATTTGCTAGAATAGGCAAGGCTGTGTGTTAGCGCTGTCATAATAGGTACTTGTGATGTCAAGGAAGTTGACTATGCATAGGCGGATCATTTAAATTTAGTTTCAGGTAAGTTAACTAGAAGTGACATGCAAGAAGATGAATGTAACTATCCATATATTTTACACCAGAAACAGATTTCATTAGAATCCAGTCCAGAAAGTTATAAAATTATTTTAAGGACATTCTTAGTGCTGGTTTGGTTAGGTCCCCCCCCCCCCCCCATCATTATGAGATGGTTTGGGACCTTGTAGATTTTTTCTGTCATTCATTCATTCATTCATTCATACATACATACATACATACATATATATATTTGTTTTCTTAAGAAGCCTGATGATGGCAGATGAGATTCTGCCGAAACGTTGCTACAACTTTAAAAGCACAACTACAATGATGTGGGAAAATACCCGAACAAAGCTGAATGCCATACATACATACATACATACATACATACATACATACATATATTTGTTTTCTTAAGTTTTCGCGGGTACTTACATGTATGGTATTCAGCTTTGTTCGGGTATTTTCCCATGTCATTATAGTTGTGCTTTTAAAGTTGTAGCAACGTTTCGGCAGAATCTCATCTGCCATCATCAGGCTTCTGTATTGTGTTCGTCTGTGAGTCAGACTTTTACAGT